CCCTGCTGATACACTCATTTGTTCTGTTTTTTTCTCATTAATTACTGTTGCCCAATGAAAACATTTCTAAGAACTAGCTTATTTGCCATCAATGAATTGCTTCTTTTTCTTTAAAAAAAGGTTTTTATTTGTGTTCACATTAAAAATACACCATTCACGCTTCAGTTCACTGACAGTTAACACTGATCACAATTAAAGCACAGGGAAACAGGTATTTTTATAAAAATAAAATAAAACAAAGAAACAGAAAGAGAATACAACAATTTGCAGATTCGTGTCAAGTCAATAAATTGTCAATAGGGCAACACATTTGACCAGAAACAACTGCTGCTGAAACACACACAGCAGAGGCACATTCTTTTAATGACAATGTAGTATAGCTTATAAATAAATAAACATTCATAATCAATACAAATGCCTTTTACTTTGTTTTCTTTATTAGAGCTATCTCTGGTCCAATAGCTTACAGGCACAATGCAAGCTTTAAAAAAAATAGAAGGCACATAAAAATAGGGCTCAAAGGGGATTTTGGCCTCTTTTGATTCATAAGCCTCATTGTGAGGGAATCTGTGGGGGGTCAAAAAAGTCAAAATGGTGGATGTGATGGAAGGCCTGCCTCATTTTAACATGCAGCCTCAACCTCTTTGCATCCATTGCTACGGCTCATGAATTGATTTTTGCAGAAACAGTTCTCAAACAGAAGGGAGAAGTAAATAGATATTAGGCATAAAATCATGATCATATCTGCAATTCAGATTTAAAATTCAGTTGGCTGGTCTTTGCCAGAAAAGGAAATAAATATGCAGGCAGAAAATATACACACATAAACGGTTACATATAAATAACAATATATAAATATCTGTGCACAAAATATTTTCACATTATGCCTTCCCTTCCTGCTTCCTTATTGATCTAATTTACTCAAAAATAAATAAACCTCATATAATATATAAGTTACTTAAATAGTTGGATAAATAGAAATAAAACCTTGGATTATTTTTTTTAAGCCAGCAAGATTAACAATGGGAAACAGAAAAGTTGAAGTGATTCAGACAGTACAGGAATTCTGCGTCTGTTTTGAAATTTGGGAGTCTCATGAGGCTTCAGCCAATGGCATCCATCCCTCTCATCTCTCTGCTCCTTTGCCCTGATCTGCCTTCCTCATATTTACTCTTCATATTAAAGCAATAAAACAGAGATGGCTGAGCTTAGGAAGGATCCTTCTGAACATCCGATTTTGTACCCCAGCCCATCCATTGTCCTGCTCTATCTGAAGGCAAAACTTGGGCTTCTCAGATTCTGATTTTGATTCATTATGTTGAAGGGATCATCTGACTCGACGTCTTGTACCTGTTGAACGTATTCTTGATCCATAATCATGGGTTCAAGGGGAACCTTGTTAATTAAAGGTAAGAACTGGGAAAAAGGGGGCAGCTGATGGCTTTGGGTCAAATTCTCCACCACGCTGAGGCTCACGGGAAGATTGTAGGCCTCTGAATAGTACACGTTATAGCCATCTCGAAGAAGCATCTCCCGGAAGTTACAGGCCTCTTCTGAGTACAATAGCTGCAAAAGGGAAGAGAACACTTGGATTAGGTCTTCAAGCCAAGAATAAAGGAGCAAAAACAACTGAATTTCATTTCATTTACCTTCAATGGGGCTAGGTTTAAGTTAATTGTTATCTTGCTCCTATAATTGCTTCCTGTGTATTAAATTATCTTGTGTCACAGTAAAAAACACAATTTTGATTGCAGAAAGTACGGCTTCAGCAACAGAGTGGTCAATGCCTGGAATGCACTACCTGACTCTGTAGTTACATCCTCAAACCCCCACTCCTTTTCCTTCAAACTAACCACTATTGACCCCGCCCCATTCCTAAGAGGTCTGTAAGGGGCATGCATAAGTGCACAATTGTACCTACTGTCCCTGTCCTATTGTTCCCAGTTATTTGTGCCTATTTCCTGTGTTTATGCTTATGTTTATTCTTATCTCTATTATCTGAAAGTGATTGACAAATCAAATCAAATAAATAAAACAATCAAGCAGCAATTGTTAGCGGGCCACTGAAGGCCACATCAAGATTTCGGATGAGCCTTATCTAAAGGTTAGCTCGGCAACCATTTGACATTACAACAGATTCTGAAAACGGGATCCTGTTTTAATGTTCCAATTCTACCTCTCCCACAGTCACGTGACTGCATTTGGGACACTTGGCAACTAAGCTTGCATTTATGTATGGTGTTTGGCAAAAACTGTCCCACAGCAAAGAGTAATTTAAAGACTGCATCATTCACTTAATTGCTGCAAAAAAGGACATCAAATCATGTCCAGTCACACAGTGACCTGCTTTATGACTGTCATTACATACGAGGGTAATTGCAGGCTTTATTATGGGTGTAACTCTAGGACACAGGTGTCAAACTCGATCATGTCAAGTGAAGTATCGCGACTTATTGTGACGTTTTTTGCCTTTGCAGAGCTGGGATGGGTGTGGCCTGCACATAACGCATCCAGCCTATGGGCCGCCAGTTTGACACCCCTGCTCTAGGACTACCTATTGCAAGGAGATTGTAACAACAATGATCTGTGCAAATTGAGCATAGAATCAAAGGTGTAGGATCATACCAAGATCATAAGCTTGAGGGAAAAAATTTATCCAATCTTCTGCCATCATCTCTGTTATATTATGTCTTGTAGCTTCAGATATCCATGTACTTCCTATTATTGCATTTTAAGCTAAGACAATAATTTCCTTAGGTAATCTTTTCCACTGTCAGACAATTCTTATCACCAAGAACTTTCTTGTAGCATCTAGTCAAGCCTGTGCCCAATTTCCGCCTACAGAATTAACTCAGAGAAATTCAAGACCATATAATCCATAGGTACAGATAGTCCTTGACTTATGACCACAATTGAGCCCAAAATTTCTGTTGTTAAGTGAGACATTTGTTAAATGAATTTTGCCCCATTTTACGATCTTTTTTGCCACAGTTGTTACGTTCATCACTGCAGCTGATAAGATTGTTAAGTGACTCTGGCTTCCCCATTGACTTTGATTGTCAGAAGGTCACAAAAGCAGATCACGAGATGAACCAGTTGCCAAGCATTTGAATTTTGATCACATGATCGTGGGGATGCTGCAAAGGACTGTTTTATGAAAAACAGTCATAAGTCACATTTTTCAGTTCTGTTGTAACTTTGAACAGTCATTAAACAAACTGTTGTAAAGACCAATTCAGCCCTATATACGTTGCCGTACCTAATCTAGGAATTCAAACTACACCAAAATATAAATTCATTTCAGCTAAAGAAATGCTATTTTCACTGCTACGGGATTATATCAATAGTGAATGTAGTATGATCAACAAATCTGCAGTTTCTCCATTCAGGCTGGAAATTTGTCTTGAACTCTGCAGTGTTAACATCTTTACCATTTGTTTATTTGCAATGTTTATATCCTGAGCATCTGCCAAAAGTTTCTATTTCTATGCACTGAGGACAACTTTTTGCAGCATACAAGTTCAAATTTCAGAAGTCAAAATAGTTGGATTGCAACTTGCAACCTGTATTATTTATCCCCTTAGTTTTCATAGACACAATGATTCAAAATAAGAAATATTTATTCAAATTATTTTTCTCCCTTCCCAAAGTATTTCTGTTTCACTGGCCCAGTAATTAAATGTTTAACTCAAAAACACACTCCCCTTGTAATGAGTGTTTTTACCTTGCTCTAGTAGCGTGCAAGAAAACCCATGACCTGTTGGGTCATTGTTTCAGAGATAAAACTTTTGGAGATGCCTCAGTATGTTCAATAATGACAGACCTTTTAATATATTTGAAAAGTTCTTAATAATCCAGGGGGATATTCAAAGTTGCATCTGCCTTGAAAGTAGCCCACGTTGAACTGTAGAGCACAATCAAACATCAACTCAGGAAAAGTTTTATGATACTTTGCATGATGTCATAAAATGTTTCATGATAATTCTTAGATCTTAAAAAATATATTTTTTAATTTCCAAATTTCAGTCCCATAGATGTCACGAGTCCCACATTTTGGACGCATTCTAAAATTTGGCCCATTTGAAATAGCTCAGTTGAAAAAAAATTACCGTTTGATGCATCATTTCACTCCGTTAAAGGTGAAAAATAACTCAAAATAGTTGTAAGTCACTCAAAAAAGTGATTTACAACTATTCCTCTCACTTACGACCGTCACTGCATTCCCATGATCATGAGATGTTAATTTGGGCCTTTGGCAACCAGCATGCATTTATGATGGATGCAGCATTCTGGAGTCATGTGGTCAACATTTGTGACTTTCTCCAGCTGGCTTCTGACAAGCAAAGTCAATGGGGGAAGCCAGATTTGCTTAATGACCACATGGTTCATTTAATGCAGTGATTCACTTAACAACCATGTGAAAAAGAATGTAATAAAATTGAGCGTGACTCTCTTAACAAAAGTCTTGCTTAGCAATTGAAATTCTGATCTTTATTGTGGTTGTATATACACCAGAATATATGAAGAATATATGAACCTTTTCCTGGTTATTATATAAGACATAGTATATGTCTCCATTTTTATTTCTATTTAATTTCTTTTTTATATTGTGTTTCAACTGTTTTAATTGCTTTTATGAATTATCATGCAGAGTCACCAGTTTCAGATAGGCAGCCGTGCAAACTGAATGAATAAATAAATATAGGGGATTGCAAAAATAAATGCTGCTATGACAGACAACTTCTTAATGGATGTCACCACATTTTAGCTTGTTTCTAAAAATGTAGGCTTTTTATTATGATTTCAGAATATATTCACTAATCTATTAAATCCCCTCAGCATCAAGAAGATTAAAATGGTCCAGTCTGTAAAAACAGTTTGCTTCTGATTTTAATCAAGTACTATCACAAGTTATTTTGGGTGTGTATGATTTTTGGGGTTGCAAATTTAATTTGTGAATCAAAACAACTCAGCTATCTCTGGAAAACACATACCTGTGTCTGAGAAGACATAACTGGTGCTTGAGTGTTTGGAATGGCAGACTTAGAATTGTTACCAAATAATGTGTTAGATGATCCCCAAAAATGCATATTTTGGAAATGGATAAACTCATAATCAGACAGGTGGATCTTTCAATGTATAGCTTTATTTTACTCCATTGATCCTTTGCTGTAAACCAGTATTTCTTCTTTAGCAATTTCCAGATGTGTGGACTTCAAATCTCAGAATTCTCCAACCAGCATGCTGGCTGGAGAATTCTGGGAGGAAGTCCACACATCCAAAAGCTGCCGGGATTGAGAAAAAGTGCTCTAAATACAAAGACATAGCCCAGATAATTATACTTACTGAACCATATAGATGTCCTTCAGAATCCATGCAAAGAAATCTAGAGGTTTTCTTGGCCAATATACGAATGATCCCCAACTTCACCGCCTTGATTTCCATCAAACCTGCAGATTGGTGGGGGAAAAGAATAAAAATAACTTGTGAAAAGTGAAAACTCTTTAGAATGGTTCTAACTCTAATAGCCATCAACCTCTTCAGATTCTCTTCAGTCCTGATTTATAACATCTGTAGAGTGTAACACAATCTGTGGGAGGCCACCAGAACACCTTCTACAGTTCCTGTTTCCATTACTTGTTTTACTCTGAAAGTTTAATGTGACCATCTACAGCGGAGGACAAACTTAACATTTGTTTTACAGAGTTTTTCAAATAGCACACATGTTAAGAAGTTACGTGTTCTGAAATGTCATCTTCTGAAAAACTATATTTCAGGATCTAGTACCCAATCCTTCCCCAAAGAATCCAACTGGCTGTGCCCCAATTCCACATATAACTCTGGAAAAACTCATTTGGAGGGATCCAGAGTGATTTGTTTCCCAAATACTCACTGAAGGCGTTCTGGTATTTGGAGCCACGCACTGTGCCATCTGAGAAGATCTCCAGGTGGAGGTGGGTCCGTTCATTGGTTGTGTAGAGATGGCGAAGCCGGACCTGCCCATCAAACTGGTACAGAGGGTTGGAATCTGGCACTGGGGAAGCCCCAGTCCTGGGGACCAATGCAGCCCAGAAAAGCAGGTTAATGGGAAGCAGGAAATAACTGTTGCATTGGAGAAGAACTGAAACAGACAGCATGGCTCAAGGATGGCTGATCCAAGCAAGATGTAGTTCTGGGATGGCGAAGATTGTCTTGTTCTCAGAAGAAATTCAAGGGGGAACTCAAGGTTCAAAGTCTTAGCCTAGTTTTGCCAGTCACTGGATTCTATTGTTTTGAGGGAAGACTATAGAGAATTCTGGATTCCTGCCCTAATTGGTCTCACCCAGAAATTAAGTCCAGAATTCACAAAAACATAAAATAAAGTCCAGAACTTCTAAAGCAGCTTCTAAAGGTTGTTATTCTTGGGATGGGATCTGGGGAGCCTAGTAAACTTCCAGTCACCCAATCAATGGGAATAGTCAGGAGTGTCTTCCTTCTTGCTCTGTCTTGTGCCAAATTTGCTCCAAATCAGCAAACTCGCCAATATATATACGCACATGCTCTACAACAGAGGTAAACGACCTTCCCCTTGACTTTTGCCTTGCCTACAATTCTCCGCCCACTTCCATTTCCCCACACACTCACTAGGTCCCCAAGGGTGAGTCACGGGGGTGCCTCTTGCTCCAACTGCTTCTAACATGGGGTCACGAGGATGCCAAAGTCTAAATATTATCATTCTGCAGCTGCTTTTAAGCTACCGACAGGAAAGGATGATGTAACTTAGGGAATACAAGACTACAAGAAAATGATGGCCAGAAGGAGGGGGAGAGAAGAAAGGGGAGGGAGATGATGGAAAGGCTATGATTGCCTCAGCATCCTGGAACAGCTCTCTGACTTATCCAACCTGTCCTGTGCTTCTATTAATCTTTCTAAATATGTGTCTCTCTTGACTATTTATGCTCTGGACTCAAGCTGTTGTCAGCTGTAAGTGCAGCCGTAATTCTCACAGCCCTTATTCTGCAGAAACAGACCACATGCTTCAGATGCCAAAGACCCCTGAATATCCAGAGGTTGAGCAGAGCACAAATCCTGCTGCAAACTTTGGGAAGCAATGGCATTTAGCACTTAGACTTATGTACTGCTTCGTAAGGCTTTACAGCCCTCTCTAAGCAGTTTACAGTGTCAGCCTATTGCCTCCAACAATCTGGATCTTCATTTTACTGACCTTGGAAGGATGGAAGTCTGAGTCAACCTTGAGCCAGTCAGGATTGAACTGCTGACAGTTGGCAGAATCAGCCTGCAAAATGGCATTGTAACCACTGTGCCACCACTGTTCCTCATGGAGAAGCAATTATCAGTTACTGTAGACAGAAGTAAGTAGGTCAATATCTACTGGTGGATCTCAAGTTGTTGACCATTTAGAGGCGCTGATCAACTTCATGAACCATCCCTCCATAATGGGTGGTGTCAAATCTTTCCATCTTTGTGCATATAGTATCTCTCCTCAGTAACCATGCTGAAATGAATACTATTTCCTCTGTTTATTTTGACATTTTGCTGGACAACCTCAAAGTATAGAATACCATTTAGATCCCCTGTTAGCTGGATGGAAGTGTCTATACCAGGCTTCAGTGTAGCACTGAAGATGACATAAATGGATCCACCATGGGAATTTGATTTTAAAACCTGAAATGGACCTGGGTATCTAGAGATTGCCTTTTCCAGACAGATTTTTCTCACCTCATCTGGGCAGCTACCAAGCTCCTAAAAACTTCCATTATTCCTGCTTTTTGTGTTCTTAGTATTTATAATTGAACTGCGATCATTTGGACTGAAGCAATAGGAAAAATTAATCAATAGAAAATAAGAGAGGAGGGAGAGAGAGAAAGAAAAAGATATTCACATATCCCCTACAGCAATAATATATAAACAAAGTAGAAAAAGAACTGAGCAACAGTCATAATGAAGGATCAATACTTTTCTAAATTCCTTTAAAGTTTTTATTTGAGGAATCATACTAGTTTGCTGGGAGTTTTAAAAATGTATATGCACTCACACCTTAGTCACTTCCTGTTTGAATTATTGCAATGTGCTTTATGTGGGACTGCCCTTAAAGACCACTCAGAAGTGCCAACTGATAACAGATAATCAGAATTGGAAGGTACCTTGTAGGTCATCTAGTTCCCCCCCACCCCGCCCAAGCGGAGACCCTACACCATTTCTGACAAATGGCAGTCCAATCTCTTCTTGAAAGTCTCAAGTGATGGCGCTCCCACAACTTCCGAGGGCAAGCTGTTCCATTGGTTGATAGTTCGCACTGTCAGAAAGTTTCTCCTTATTTCCAGGTTAAATCTCTCCTTGTTCAGTTTCCATCCATTATTCCTTGTCTGGCCTACAGGCGCTTTAGAAAATAGCTTGACCCCTTCCTCCCTGTGGCAGCCCCTCAGATATTGGAAGACCGCTATCATGTCTCCCCTGGTCCTTCTCTTTACTAGACTAGCCAAGCCCAGTTCCTGCAACCGTTCGTTGTACCGTATATACTCGAGTATAAGTCGACCCGAATATAAGCCGAGGCACCTAATTTTACACAAAAAACTGGGAAAACTTATTGACTCGAGTATAAGCCGAGGGTGGGAAATGCAGCAGCTACTGGTAAATTTCAAAAATAAAAATAATTAATTTGGGAAACGATCTCACTATCATGAAAGGTTTAATTGATTCACTAACCCAAAAGAAGAAGATGATGATGACAGCGGGAGGCAGGAGTCACTCTCTTTCCCTCCCTCGGAGGCCCCCTGAGTCAGGAGTCACTACCGCCGGCGCGGCCCCAGTCCCGCCGCCTCGGGAAGGGAAAGGCAAAGCGCTTTTTGCCTTTCCCTTCCCGGCTGGGGCTGTTGGGAGTCGCTGCCGCCGGAGGCCGCGACTCCACACCATTTTTTTTTCAGAGGGGAATCTGACTCAAGTATAAGCCGAGGGGGATTTTTTCAGCACAAAAAATGGGCTGAAAAACTAGGCTTATACTCGAGTATATACAGTATATTTTAGCCTCCAGTCCCCTAATCATCCTGGTTGTTCTTCTCTGTACTTTTTCTAGAGTCTCAACATCTATTAGAGATTCTATTTATATATAGCACCACAGAGCAAAGAAAGAGTACAGCCACCATGTGCTTTACCGCTCAACTGTTTTAACTGTAACAGGAAACTCTACTCAATAAAAGGAACTATAGATTATAACCATAAATGCAAACTAAACATTGCCATCTACTGGCTGAATAATTCTGCAGTTACTGTAATACAAAATAAACTCTAACATGTATTCCAACAGGTAGGCATGCTCTGGTCTCTTCCCTGAAATTCTGCAATCTGGTCGGACCACAGAAGTGGCCTTTTCCATGGCTGCCTCTACCTTATGGAACACCCTCTCCAGGTGATTTTCCAGGCTCCCACTTTTTAGCTTTTAGGCCTGGCTTGAGGAGGAGATGAAGGCAACAATCCTCAAAACTGCAAGATTCTCAGAAACAATAATGGAAAATTAGTTATTTTCCTCAAAACTGGCAGAATAATCCTATTTGCAGGCTATACTGTATTTTTAAAGTTCTCTAGATGGTATTTTTAAAGATCTCAGAAATGCATCTGTCAGATAAAAAAAATGTTTATTTTTATATGTGGAAACCCATGGCCAACATATTGCCATGCGTTTTCTTCAAATTAAAAAACATCTCACATTTTCTTAAAAATGCCACATAGCTATGCCAATGAACATACGCAAGCTGTAAATGTAAGAGATCGAGAATAACAAAGGCCTGAAATAATTCCATGACTGTGATGAATATTTCCTAGGAATTAGCGAAGGGTTAGTCCTGTATACAACGAAAGTTTCTGAATCTGTAAAAGGAAGTGTGTATGTTTCTGCGTGATGATGCCCAAAACAGAAAGGAGAAAATGCAGTTCTTCCTAAAGTTTATTTATAATTCTCAATTGCACATGCATAATAAAAAGGGGGGGGGGGGGGATTAATCAGGACTGGTCCCTTTGGGAGATCCCTGTTTTGCTAGTGGCATGAGGCCAGCAATTAGTGCTGTCCTTATTTACAGTGCAGGGGATATGTTAAGGACAAGGATTGGTGAATTCCCCGGGTTTTATTTTCCTCCCCTCCAACTGGCAGCCAGCGGGAAAGCAACAACCAATTACTGATGAGAGGTGGAGCTTGAAGAAGAAGCAGGTTTTATCAAATGGCCAGAGAATTAGGCTTAGCCAGGGGTGGGTTGCTGGGGGTCCACGGGGGTTCGGGAGAGCCCCTAGCTAAGATTCTGTGCAGTTTGGAGAACCCCCAAATCCTACTCCTGCCTGGCCCCCTCCCAACCCTCCCCTCCCAGGAGTCCCCACAGGCCCATTTGGGATGCAGGTAACTCCAGGGTGCGCACGGAGGTTTGCGGAGGGCGAAAAATAGGCCTCCTGGAAGTTCAGGAAGGCCGGAAATGGGCCCATTTCCAGCTTCCAGGGAGCCTCCGGATCCTGTGGGAGGCCATTTTCACCCTCCCGGAGGCTCAAAAAAAGCCTTTGGAGCTCAGGGGAGGCTGATTAGGCCACACCCACCGTGGCCACGCCCACTCAGCAACCGGGCAGACCGCCCTTTGCTAAAATTTTTGAAGCCCACCCCTAGGCCGAACTTATTAAAACTTGCTCCAGCAAGCTTGGAATTAAGGCACCAGGCTTGAAACCCGGAGAATGTGAGATGATCAGCTGGAGGACTGTAGGCCAGTCATTCTCCCTCAGCCCCAGGAAGAAGGCAAGGCCAAACCAAGTCTTGCCAAGTGTAGTGTATTTAAATAGAGACTTCTAGGGCGATGTTCCTATTGGTTAACAGAAGCAACGATACGATTGGTTAGTAACGTTAGTACCTGATTGGCCGCCAATAGCGGCGGGAAGTTTAACTAAATGTCATTGGTTGCGAGCCATGGAGCAGCCGCTATAAGAAGGGCTGCTGCGGTTCGACTGCAGTTGAAGTTACTGTTATTATTAAAGAGCTGAATTCAACTCCGGTCTGCGAGTCTCTTTACTGGCGACAGAACACCAAGAAAACTGGAAAAACTTAGAGAGCCACCAGAAATCAACGTGGATGCAAGCACACATACACATATACTAGATATGGCATAAA